AAGCCCGCCGCCCGCTGGCTGCGCCCCGACTCTCGGAGGGCGGCCGCCGCCGGATGCCCGTGTGATGAGGCGTCACAGCAGCCACTGCCCACTCTCGTCATCGTCCTAGCGCTTCCCCGAGACCCTTCTCGCCCACGTTGCTCGGTATCACCTGTCGCCCTGGCTAAACTGTGTACGAAACCCGGCCTCGTCGCTCCCGCGCGTCCTCGCTTTGGGACCCGCGCCCGCTCACCACCGGGGCCTGTACGACCCTCCGCCAGGTCCTGGACTTCACGGCCCGAGTGGAGAGCCAGGTCCCCGTTCTCTCGGGCCTCTAGGGCCTGGCAGAGCTGGCACTGCCAGGAGCCACCTGCTGCGCATGGGGTGGGGGGATTTGGCGGCGCGCCCGCGCGACCCCGCCCACGCCTCTGCCACAGCCACTCCCCTGACCTCGTGGGAGGGTCCCCGCTCTGGGGCCGCCCATCCGCCAGGCCCTGCCTGACCCCCCATGGGCCTGTGGGCTCCTTGATCAAGACCCAGGCAGGTGCGCCTGATGCAGGTCTGCCAGGTGACAAGGTGAATGAGCTGTGCACTCGGCCGGCTGGGGACATCCCTCATTTGCTAAGGGGACTATCAGGGCCAAGAAGTGCAGGGGAAAAGCAGCTAGTGGCCGGGCGGGGGCCTATGGGGAGCTTCCCAGGGCCAGGCAAGGAACTGCAGAGCGCCAGGGCCATCCCAGCGGGAATGGGCGGCAGCCCCCTGCCACCACACAGGAGAGGAAGCCCTGTGGGCCAGATCCCCAGCCTGTCTCGGAATTTCTGGAGAAGCCACAAGTCCAGATCAGCTGGTGAGATCTCCAGTTTTTTAAGTGTAGGAACACTATGGACAAGCTGAAGTGAGACTGTGGCTGTCACTGGCCCCCTTCCTGCCAGCTGTGATCTCCCCCTTGGCTGTTCTCCAGGGAGCAGAGCTGCTTGTGCGTGTGGGACAAGGCCACCGCACTCTAGGATGACCTTGCTTGCCCTCTGGGTCTCCTTCCTGGGAGATAAGGTACCATTTCTTTGCTCAACAATTCCCAGGAAGAACCAGCCTCCTCCGTGGAAAGAAGACACTGTGGAGAGTGGGAGCAGGAACCCGCCACCCCTGGACCAGCCGTGAGCCCTGGGGAGCCTGGGAGGACCCGAGCAGACCCCACAGGGCCGCCTGGGGCCCTCCATCAAGAAGGCCACTGTGAACTGCGCTGCACGGTGACGCTAGGAGCTGGCGGGGGTGGGCGGGAGCCAGTGCGGTCGCATAGGGACCCGGTGTTTGGGGGCGGGGCCTCAGCAGGGTCCGGCACTGGGTCTTCCTGCGCAAGGGGGCGCCAGGCTAGAAGCCACATTTGGACGCCGCCTTCTCTCCGCCATTCAGAAGGCACGACTGAGGCTGCAGGGCTGGCGCTCCGTCCCCACTGCAAGCCTCAAGCCCCTGCGAGCTGCCCGGCCTGTCTGTCCCCTCTAAGGCTGGAGAGTGAGGACCACATCCCTCCTGTCCCCCTGGCCAGGTGCAGTGCCTGGCACGCAGCTCGCACTGCCTGGCGCAGCGTGTAAGAGCCCGGAGCAGCCAGCCAGCGCGGCGATGGGACAGCCCCTGGCAAGGACAGGGCGCACGCGCCGCGGGCCAAGATCTCACTGGCTCAGCTTCCGGAACGTGCCTTCCCATCAGACCTTTCGCTGACCGCCAGCGGTGGACACGGAGGGTGCGGGGCTCCAACGGGAAGTGTCTCAGGAGGGGCTTGCATGTGGGACCCCCCATGCCAGGGTGGCCGTCCCCCATGCCTCGCCCGTCCCTCCCCCGCCTCGGGCTGAGCCCTGCTCTCCTGGGTAAGCACTTAAGGCTAGGTGTGGGGTCTTCACTGTCTGGCTCTGCCCTACTCAGTCCCTGCTAGGCACCCCTAAGAGGCCCCCCTAAACTCTACCCAGGCTTTTTGGGGACGAGGAGGGACCAGCAGGAAATTCTTGGATGCAACCTCAGCGATGAGAAAGAAGCCGATCTTATCCGTGAGCTTCTGGGGCAGGGCGAGACCGCCTGAGCTGGCCCCTGCAGCCCCAGCAAAGGGACAGGGTGACGGAGGGAGCCAGCGTCCCGGCCACTGACCTTGAGAGCGCTGTGGGACGTGCCGCTGGGCCGCCGCCTGCCCCCGTCCTCCAGCTGCATCTCCGAGCACAGCTCTTCCTCGTCCTCCTCCATGATGTCCGAGAGGTCGGACCCCCGGCTGCTCTCCGTGTGGTACTCCTCACCATGGCAACAGTGCGGCTGGGAGCAGGCAGAGGGGACACAGTGGGCATCGCCCGACACGTGCGCTCCCCGCGAGGCTCTGCGTGCTGCCCCCTCACCCCCCGCAAGGTGCGCCCGTGCGTGAGGGCCACTCGCTGCGATGTGAGGGCACAGGGCGTCACCGTCCACACACTCGTGAGCTGGGTGGCAGAGGGAGGACCAGCTGGCAACAGGCGCAGAGCCTGGGCTGCAGGCAGGGGGGCCAGCCCGGGGCTGGGGAACACGCTTTCCCAGGCGCCGTCGGCCCCTCTGCCTTGGTGACGAGACAAGGGCTCAGCCAGAGGCGATGCACTCAGGCGGCCGTGGCTCAGGGGACAGTGCGCACATGAGACCTAGGTCGTGCAGTAGAGTGGTGTATGGGGAAGTGGGTGTCTGGGCCCCTCATCAGCGTTTAAGAGCTTAAAGGACACCACGTGCTCTGACATGCACGCACGCTGGGCCGGGGCGGGGCTGGGACCCTGGAGGCTGGGCTTGCTCCGTGCCCAGGTGGGTGGCTGGCGCCAGGTGGAGACTGTGCTACGGGGAAGAGGCTGGGGCAGTGTGACAGGGTCACCGGAGAAGCCGCCTTTAAAACGCAGACTACACTTTTGAAACTGTCCCCAAATGAGGTCACAAATGCACTGGCACCGTCAAGTCTAAACTTCCCAGACTGCGGCTGTCGTCCTGTAGCCCGGCACTGTCCTGTCTTTGTCACGACCTGGGGTCTCCGGACCTCGAGAGGCCTGTGTGAGGCGGTGAGGGCCAGAAGCCACTCACCGGCTTGCCGAGCTCCGAGCCTTTCAGAAAGTCGTCCACCGACGCGCCCCGCCGCTTGGCGTCCGGGGACTCGTAGCCGTCCTCCTCGTCCGAGTCCGCGTACTGCGCGCCCCTCTCCGCGAACACACTCCTTTTCTCTAGCTTGGAAGGAGGAAGGACAGCGTGAGCGAGGTGGTCGGGGGGGCCGGGCGGGTGGCGAGGCCTCCTGACCGTGGCTGCAGGAGGAGGGGGCGTCCAGGCCCCCGCGCTGTCTGGAATTGCCCCTCTCCTTCGCCCAACCCTGCAGCCTGGGTCAAGCGGTCCTGGGTCAAGTGGGACGCGGCGCGGGCTCCTGGGCGGGCTTCCAAGGCTGCCTGGCTGTGACACAGGCGGGTCCTGCCGCCTCCCCACCACGCACAGCGGGACTAATCCTCGACTGTGCTGGGAGCGCCGTGGGCCCGCGGAGGAGCCCGGCTCTGACGGTGCGCACTCAGCATCTTCTGCTTTCTCCCCAGGCCTCCTGAGAGGGCTGCCTGGGAGCTGGTCCTGTCTGCAGGTCTTAGGGTGCTCGCACCATCCAAAAGGGCTTTGCCAAAAGCTCCCAGCTGCGAGGGTTGGCGGGCCGGGGCTTCTGTGGTGTGGGACCCCAGAGCCCAGGGCGGTGGCCCACGACACACGAGCACGTCCCGGCCTTTCGGTCAGAGCTCACAGACCAGTATTTAATTGCTTTTTAGGTATTAGTGGCTAATACTGAACAAATTGAGAGATTCCACATAAAGCCTGGTTTCTGATGTTTCTAGAAGCTGAAGCATCGTCTCCACAGCCCCCTTGCCTCCCAGTGTCCAGATGTGGCCTGTCTCTTGGCTCTGACCTCCCGGGGAGTCCCTGGCACCAGCATTCAGAGAAGGCACTGCCAGGGGCAGCAGCCTGGAGAGGCCCTATAGGCTGTGGGCAGTGCTGGGAGGACCGCTGACTGCCACTGCCCCTCTGCCCAAGACCACGCGGCAGACCTAGGCACCTGGCAGACAGATGCGCCCAGGATGGGCCCGTCCCGGGCAGGGGGGGGCTCCTGGTCCAGCTCAGTTCCAGGTCCTGGGAGGGGACGCCGAGGCCTGAGAGGCAGTCTCGCCCCACCGGTGATGCTCCGACGCCCCATCTCCCTGCGCACTGCACCAGCAGCTGTCCCCACCCACACGGGCCCTCTCCCCGCGGCCGGTCAGTTTCCAGTCATCAGCATGGAAATGTATTTGTGCACTTCTTTTCTATGTGTATTTGTAGGTATGTCTGTCTGTGTATGTGTGTGTAATACAGACACAGATACAGACACACAGACACAGACACACGCACACACGCGCGTACACACACACACACGCGCGTACACACACGCGCGTACACACACACATGCGCGTACACACACACACACACACAAACACACGCGCGTACACACACACGCGCGTACACACACGCGCACGTACACACACACGTGCATACACACACGCGCGTACACACACACACACACACACAGCGGGGGCTCAGGAGTGAGCAAGGCCAGGAGGCGTGCTCAGTTAGGAATCGGGTCCCCAAGCCAACTTCCAGGAGGTGCCCCCAGATCCCTCGACACAGACCAAACCTGGCCAGTTTTGTTGGTCACAGCCCGTTTTCTAAGCCAGGCCGTTTCCTCTGGTCAGCTGGGGCCACATTGTCCGCAAAGCACAGTTGTGTCCGGGGCCCTTGGGACAGGCTCCGGGTGCCGAAGAAGGCCCCACCCCCACTGGGCCGCGGGTGAGGCCAGCCTTACCCTGCTGCTCTCGGCCACTCTCTCTGCGGCCTTCCGGGCCATGGCCCTGGCGACGGAGGTGGACACCGGGGCGCCCTGCGGCTGCGGGAGGATCCGGCTGGGTGAGGGCGACCGCCTGCCGGGGCCCTGCAGGCTGGGTGGCCCCAGCATGTGCCCGTGGACTGGGACCGGTGCCCGGCTCTGCTCCCAGGCCTCGTCTACCTTCACGTGGGGACCCAGGCGGTCATCTTTGGTATCGGGGACTCCGGCACTTGCTAATGGCTTCGGTGTGGGGGCAGGAGGCACCAGGAGGGCAGGGGGGATGGCAGCGATGGCAGAGTCCGTGGACTCGCCCTGCGCAGAGAGGGTCCGCACGGTCACGGCCTTGGCATCCAGGCTCCGTAGCCGCGGGAGCTCCACAGTGGCACTGTCCGCCGTGGGGGCACTGACCTCGGCCACCTGCCACAGAGAGCCTGCTCACAGGTGGTCCCCGCAGCCGGACAGCCCCTCCCCCACGCCCGTGAGTGGGGGGCCACCTCCGACCGCTGCTCGTGGCCGCGACCGGGGCCCCGGACGTCCCGCTCACCCTCTGCCCCTTCGCATACACGCCGTAGCCCGTCACGCTGGCGCCAGAGGACAGCCCAGTGGTGGTCAGTGCGGGCGGCTGCCAGGAGACACGGATGGTTGCTGGGGTGGCTCCAGCCTGGACAGTGACGTCTCGTGGGGGGGCAGGAGGACCTGTGGGACAGATGGCAGAGGACCTTTTAGGGCCTGACCCCGGCAGGCGAGTTGTCACCACACTCAGCTGGTGTCACCTGGGGAGGAGGCAATCCATCAGAGGCACAGACTCCCGGTTATAACAGAAATAAGTCACTGGGCGTGACGGCCAGTCGGTAGCAGGGTAATCACTCTGTGGTGACAGACGGTCACTGGTCCATGAGGCACGTAAATGTTGAAACCTTATGTCGCACACCCAAAACTCACGGGACGTTGTAGATCAACTCTGATAAAAACAAAGCATGAGGAAAAGTCGCCAGGGCAGGGAGGCGAGTGGGAAAGCAAGTGGCCGGGGCGGCTGCCAGGCGCGCGGAGCTGCTCCTCTACGCCCGGACCGGTCCCCAGTCCGTGCAGCTGGATGGAGCCGCCTGGGCCTGTGTGACTCGGGCCCGGCCGGTCAGCCCCGTGACAGCTTCGCAGCGGCCAGGGGCTCCCAGTCCAGCGGGGGAGACAGGCCTTTCCTTTCTCCAGCCCGCCTCCCGCCTTCCTTCTCCCCCCCGGCTCGCTCTCGAGTGTGTGAGCCTGGACTGTGTGTCACCCAGCTTGCCACCTCCTGGGAGAGGGGACTGACCGGTGTGGAGAGACAGGGTTCCGAGGGGGCCCCAGGTGTCAGCCCCGCACGCAGACCTGCTGTCAAGCAGCTGGCACAGCCCCGCTGGTGCCGGGCCTGCTCGAGTCGTGCAGACTGGACCTCGCGAGACAAAGTCTCGAGCTGCTAATTCGAGCAACGAGGCGGCAGTGGTCCTGGGGCTGGGGACCTGGTGGCTTCTGGTGACAGTGGGGTGGCTGTGCTGCACTGCACCCCGGGCGGCTCCTTCCCTCCGGGCTGGGGTGGAGCCCCCACACCCTCCTGCTTGGAAGCCCACAGCAGTTCCTTTGGGAAGGGACGAACACTCCGCTTTTCGGGGGGAGGCCGTGAGCGTCACATACTCAGGCGTGCAGAGGTCCCCAAGCGACGCCCCTGGAGGCAGGAGGGTGGCTGTGTCCGGGGGCTTTTCTGTGCCCGCACATTCTCACACTCGTACCCGCACTTCCCACCACGTGAGCTCTGCGGTCTCAGCACGGGCTCATTCTGCAGCTGAACTGAAGGCTCAGGACACCACTCTGCTGCCAAGCGCCGGAGGCCACTAGCCTGTGGCCCGTCTGCAGAGACAGAGGGCCATTCCACGCTGCCACCAGGTCCTTACAGCCTCCCCACGGTTAGGTGGTGCCTAGCGCTGACACGGTGTGACACGTCGGTCACGGCTCCGTCAGTGCCAACGACTCGCAGCCTGGCTCAGCAGTGGGGCCGCACCGGACAGCTCATTTACACGGGACGCTGCCCTCACCGTCCCCAAGGACGGAAGTCAGGAGCTGCCCCAGCCTGGGGTCTCCTTGGCATCTGTTTGTACGCACCCTGAAGCACCAGAGGCCCGGGGTCGGCAGCAGAAGGGGACAGAGTGGCTGCAGCTCTGCCACCTCCAGCCTGCGGTTGACACTGACCCAGAGCAGTGGCGGGGGAGGGCTCGGCCATCGGGCTCGTCAGCAGGACAGTTCTGGAGGTGGAGGTGGCCGTGGCCGGTAACTGAGTAGCCCTGGGATCTGGAAGGTCGGGGGACGGGCAGATGGTCGGTTTGCCCTCATCACCGTCTCTGCAGTTCCCGGGAGTGTGTGTAGAAGGGACAGGGAGCCATCCCTTTTGTCACGCTGAGGACGGCGAGGAGGTAGGGGGCTCTGTAGTAGAGGCACCCGGGACCCAGGCAGGGTTACTGGGGAACCGTGTCCCCCCGAGAGCCCGCCCATGCGCGCGTATGTGTCAACGGGAAGAGGCGGCGTGTGTGCGCTCCGTTCACGGCCCCACAGCTGCGCACGTCTGGGGCGAGCGCCCGGCGACCTGTGACCCTCCGTCCCCGTCCCCGAGGGTCGTCTAGTTCCTCCCACCTTCTGAGGATGAGCCTCCTGCTTGTGCAAGTGCTAAACATTTCCAACACCACGGCCCCGAAACACGACCAGAGCCCTCCCTCTCTCACACACACGAACGCACAGACACGCACACGCACACGCACGCGCACTCCCCATAGTCCTCGCTCACCGACGCCGATTTAAGGGATTTTCCAGGACGACGCCAGGATATGTTTCCCCATAGTCCTCGCTCACCGACGCCGATTTAAGGCATTTTCCAGGACGCCAGGATACGTGGGCCGTATGCAGCTTCCCTCTGCTCCCTCCCCCCACCCATCCCCATGTCACATGCGGAGTGCCTTCCGGTGTCCTCGCCCCGGGGCCCCGCGGAAGCACAGACTCACCTGCAGGCAGCGTGGCGAACTCCACGAAGGCCTCCTTCTTCTCCCTCTGCTCCAGGGGGAGCTGCCAGGGCATCTGGTGGGGCCTGGCCAGCACCTTCACCTTGTAGGCCACGCTGGGCCGCAGATTGAAGAGCGGGAACTTGTACCTGGCGGCCCCGACCACGCCCAGCTCCTCCTCGTTGAGGAAGATCACGTGGCTGTAGTTGCTGTTGGTGGGCAGCCAGGAGAGCTGGGCAGAGGTCTGCGTGACGTTGTCCACCCTCAGCTGCGACGGGGCCACCACCACATCTTTGCCCACCAGCAGGGTGCAGCGCAGCGGGTCCGAGCTTCCCCGGCCCGTGACGCACTGCACGGACACGCGGTAGGTGCCGGCCGCCATGTCGAGCTTCTCGACGAGGGCCTTGGTCCTGCCGGCCAGCGGGAGGCTCAGGCGCGGCTCCTGGCCCACCAGGACGCTGTAGCTGCTCCCGGCGCCCCACCCCGGCGGCAGGGCCGGCGGCTCCCAGCCCACGATGACGCTCCTGGCGAGTTGCTTGATGAGGGTGATCTTCCTAGGGTAAGGCACAGTGTCTTCTCCAACGTCGTCGACGTCCGCGGCCAGCGTCCCCGTGCTGTTGTCGGTGACACCAGAGTCGGGGGGCGTGGGGGAGTGCAGGTCGAGAATGTTCTCCGCCTCCGGGCCGATGCCCGAAAGGTTGATGAGGTTTTGGTCCTGTCCGGTCGCCAGCGTGCCCAGTCGAGACTCGCTGTCCTGGACGAAGTCCACGAAGTTGGAGGGCACGAGCCCCCGCTGCCCATCCAGCAGTTCGCCTGTCGGGGGCGAGGACAGAGTCACCACCACATGGGGGCCCCGTGGACCCGCGGGAGACTCAGCACGCCTCCCTGGGGGGGCCACGGGGAAGTGACAGCTTCACAGTGGGGTGCCTCAGCTCTGTGCAGGAACCCTCTCGTCACCTCCTCAGGCCCCGGCCCGCAACCGACAGCCACCGCTGCCCTGTGCTGAAGCCCTCCGTCGGCCGGTCTGCTTCCTCTGTAGTGCCTGTCGCAGCCTGAACCACTGAGTCCACTTAACCTGCGTCCACATGCTGACCCCCTCACCTGAGTGGGACAGCGCTCTGTAAGGGCAAGACCTGTGCTGGTCACCACGACTGAGCAGCCGAGAGTGACTCCAGGCCATCGGTGTTTGTTAGAAGGGTGAACACACATGTAGAGTATGTGGGTTTTGGAAGCTAACATATATCTTACTCTTATTCTTGATCGAGTGATTGTACACGTAGGAACTAAAGGTAACTTTATCCGCCTTGCAAAGCGCTGTGTGCATCTCACTGAAATTCCCAGTGTGTCCAGTTGGTGACAATCGATTGCTGCCATAACCACCTGTAAGCTGAGAGGCAAAAAAAATGCCATCTAACTAGCTCCTGTGGCTCTGGACAGTGACGATGGGGACCTCTTCTAGTTTCGTGAAATGGTCTAACTTCTGTGTGTTCTCTATTCAAGGGGCTTAAAGCCAGCTAGAAGCAGAGGCCCTGAGCACTGACAAGTGTTCTGAGGAGCTTCAGAGACTGCTCAGTTTGGGTCATCTTTCTGTGCCAGTGGGAAGTGGCTATTCTCCCCCGGTTCATCGCAGTCTGCAGAGAAGGCTTGACTGGAGGCCATGCAACCCAGGAGGCTGGGAGATGCTTAACATGGGGGTCTGGTCCCAACATACTCCCTGTGACAGGCCCAGGAGAGGGCAGGCTGACCATTCAGTCAGTCCTGGGTTCTACCAGATGAACAGGAGACTCCGATTCTGCTCCTGACCCTATCAAAAGGGTGGGTCTCAAAAAGTCAATCACTGCCCTGAGGTCCTCTCTAAACACAGCCTCATTTGGACTCATGGGGAGATGATGATGATGATGATGATGGTGATGGTAATGGTGATGGTGATGGTGATGGTGGTGGTGATGGTGATGATGGTGCTGATGGTGATGATGGTGATGATGACGGTGATGATGGTGATGATGACGGTGATGATGGTGATGATGACGGTGATGATGGTGATGATGACGGTGATGATGGTGATGATGACGGTGATGATGGTGATGATGACGGTGATGATGGTGATGATGACGGTGATGATGGTGATGATGACGGTGATGATGGTGATGATGACGGTGATGATGGTGATGATGACGGTGATGATGGTGATGATGACGGTGATGATGGTGATGATGACGGTGATGATGGTGATGATGACGGTGATGATGGTGATGATGACGGTGATGATGGTGATGATGACGGTGATGATGGTGATGATGACGGTGATGATGGTGATGATGACGGTGATGATGGTGATGATGACGGTGATGATGGTGATGATGACGGTGATGATGGTGATGATGACGGTGATGATGGTGATGATGACGGTGATGATGGTGATGATGACGGTGATGATGGTGATGATGACGGTGATGATGGTGATGATGACGGTGATGATGGTGATGATGACGGTGATGATGGTGATGATGACGGTGATGATGGTGATGATGACGGTGATGATGGTGATGATGACGGTGATGATGGTGATGATGACGGTGATGATGGTGATGATGACGGTGATGATGGTGATGATGGTGATGATGACAGTGATGATGGTGATGATGATGGTGATGGTGGTGATGGTGATGATGGTGATGATGGTGGTGATGGTGGTGATGGTGATGGTGATGGTGGTGATGGTGATGGTGACGGTGATGATGGTGATGGTGATGGTGACGGTGATGTGACAGTGATGATGGTGGTGGTGGTGATGGTGCTGATGGTGATGGTGGTGATGATGGTGATGATGATGGTGATGGGATGGTGGTGATGGTGCTGATGGTAGTGATAACTCACATTTCTTGAACAAATACTATGCCCTAGACCCATTCCATATCTATGCCTCATTTATCCTCACAGCCTCCCCACAGGTGGGGACTATTACTGTCTACACTATATAACCAGGGAAACTGAGGCAGGACAGACGTCGCATGCATAGTGGAGCTCTGAGCTTTGCGGCCTGCCTTCAGTCGGGCCCCTGGAAAGTTGATGTGGGCACGACTCCTGGTGTCAATATTCTAGAGACATCCAGGGAGGGTTTTCTGGCACTGACGGTGGCATACGTTTTCTACGCTGATGTGCAAATCAGCGAAGTAGCGTGTCTATGCAAGGAGTTGAGACTGTTGGCCACCAGTCGTGGTGAAGCCGTGGCGACCACCCTCAGCTGCTGTGCTTCTGTAACCAACGCAGGTGGCTCGGGCCATGGGCTGGGCCACCACGCGTGAATGTCCATGTCATACCCAGTAACACCCAGCAGCAGACCCAGGTGCTTCCGCCAGCTCGGACAACGACCTCCACGAGGTCATAAATGAGAAACCTGCCAGCCGAGCAGGAAAAAGTCCTCTGCTCAGGAAAGCAAGAAGCCGAGACCCTTCTGTTTGTACCAGCCAATTACCGAGTTTAGGGAAGTAAGGAGCCTTAATTCACAAAGCTGCTGCTGGTGTCACACGTTCATCCTCAACTTAAAACGAGGGCAAAAGGTTAGGCAACTTGGATAGAGTTCACACTTCTGATTTCAAATTGTGGGAGGTGACCGTGAAGGGGGTGACCAGGAAGATGTGAGCCAGACCATCCCAAATTAACAACAGAACCCTAAGGTCAGTGGGATCGCATTGAGCCAGATGAGGCCACGTGGACTGGGCCCTGGCCCAGCCGGAGAGGACATGGACCAGGGACCCGGAGGGCTAAGCACGCCTCATGGGCACAGAGGGCAGAGACCTCAGCCCCGTGTCTGCAGATGCCGCCTGGGCCACTCTGCAGAGGTTAATATTGTAATCTCTCCACCGAGTGTCAGGTCTGCTTGGAGTTAAAACAAGGAAATGCCACTCGGTCATCGAAAGGGGGAATCCTGATGACGCTGGACAGCGCAGGGTCAGAGCAGGGGGTGGGGTGCCCAGGGGCCATCTGAGTACCTGGCCCGCCTACCAGGCCCTGGACAAGTCAGTCTGCTGGGTGGACCAGCCGTGCATGCTGCCCACCCGCCCGCCACGCTCCGACAGACCTTCATAGAAGCCGTCCTCGTCCATGTCCCCATACACGTAGAGGTACTTCCCTGCTGTGAGGGGCAGCTCAGCTTCTGGGTTCTCGTTTGGCCCATCGAAGGGGTTGTAGCTGGAGGAAGAGACAAGCTCGCTCAGCAGTCGCCCCAACAGAGGCCAACCTCTCCCTCCCCCGTGGGGTCCCGGCGGGCACTGGCCTCCTCTCCTGTTTCTGGGAAATGACAGACCCTGTCATTTCTGGGAAATGACAGCTCAACGCGGGAGTCAGGCCTCTGTGCACTGCAAGTCCAGGCTGTCTCTGGCTCCACACACACTCATGCCAAAAAAGCCTTCTCAAACCCAGCTGTACATCTGCAATCTTCGTATCAGATGGCAAATTTAAAACTCTGATATTATGTGCATACCTGTCACTTCTACCATATCGATTTCCAAATCAGTAAGCAAATGAGAACGTAATTAACTCTACAATCTTTCAACATATATTATTTAGCAAAGATAGAATCATATGGCATATACTTGCTAGTAATTGGCTTATTTTCCACTTTTGCAATATGGCACGACTATCCTTCCACCTCAGGGAACAGTCTATCACACCCTTTTTAACGGATGTGTAATATTCCACTGACTCGGTTGACATGCTTTATGAAGCAGTTTCCTGACACCGGCGTGGAGGCCGCCTCTGACTTCGGGCTAATACGATCGGCGTTGTGCCGAATATCCTCATACACGTGTGGCTGCGCTTCCTTCTTACAGATAGATCGCTAAGGAGTAGTCAAAGTCATGCCCATTTTTAAGGTCCTGGGACCTGCTGCCAAAATGTCCTGACAAATGGATGCATTGTTTTACCTTCCTCCTGACCACAAGTATAAACACACTTTCAAGTCCTCAAAGTACGGGAACTAACATTGTCTGAAGTCACGTCCGACTTACAAATAAAACACACGTTAGACGAACTTTTAATTTTCTAATAGGAAGGTTAAGGAATTAAAAGGCCTCCATCAGAAAAATTAAACCGCCGCTACTGACGGAGACAGGCTGTAAAGCTACAGTGACGGCGTCGCGCTGGCTCACGCAGCGATGTGACCGAGGGGGCCCCACGTCTTATCTGACCCCGCTGACTCTCAGGGGAGTGGAGAAGATACCATCCCCAGCTTTTACGACCAAGTGCAGGGAGGGGGCTCGCTCAAAGCCACGGGCTCATCAGTGGTGGGGGTGGAACCAGAATTCAGGCCCCCTGACGCCGTCTCGTGCAGGCTTAGCCACACCGAGCCACTCTGTCCCTCACTGTCCGTGTCCCCCCACAAGAGGCTATGTGAGCCCAGTAGGCATTCAGCAGTGGCCCCAGCACCTTGCACCTGGCAGCTTCGGGGGACCAGGCCCACTGCTGGGAATGGGGGTGGTTCACCAGGACCCAGCCCCGCTGGGAGACAAGCCTGGGGCTTGCCCGCTCAGCCATCGCCCCGTTTGTCGTCACTGACGTCCCTGCTCCACACACACACAGAGCCCTCCTGGGAGGTGTGGGGCGGGCCTGAGCCTTCCTCCTCAGGTCCCACGGACTGTGGCCTTGCAGGCCCTCCCAGCCCTGGGCAACGTCCCCGGGGACAGTGTGATAAACGAACGCAGGGGTCCAGCATTCAGATCTGGGGTGGACCCTCCTTGGGCCCAGCTGACGTCTGAATCGGGCCACTTACAGGCCCGGACCTATCTGTCCACCGGAAGCGGTTTCACTGGTGACATGTGCGGATCACGAATCAGCAGACACAGCCCACGGGTCAGCATGAGTTACTGGAGATGGCTGCCACTGGAGACAGCGGAAGGCCGTGAAGGCACACGGGCGGTCTGAAGTCAAGGCCGCTCCCCGCCCGCGTGGACAGGGTGCGAGGGGCCAGTGAGGCTGGCGTCCACACTCTCAGACACGGCTCCTGAAGTGGGATTCCTAGACAGCTCTGGGCACGGCCACCGGCGAGGGGACGCTGGCGGCCGACACCTCTGGAACGTGGCCAGGCCCACCTCGGGCCAGCTGTGTGCAGAGTGGGCGGAGCACCGAGCACACAGGGCTGGGCGTCAAGGCAGGAAGCGGCAGGTCTGTGTGGCTTTGCGCCTGCTTGCCTGTGGCTCTTCAGTCACAAACTCCTGTCACTGTCACCGGGCAAGGCGGTTGTGGGAGGCAGCTAACCCACACGCACCCCAAAATTTTGGCAGCTACCAAGAATCTCGGAGTCACGCATGACCCGGACAGCTGGTCAGTCCTCGGTCAGCACGGACACGGAAGGCCCTGCAGGGAGGTGCACGACACAGGTAACCGCCGTGGGACGGAGCCTGCGCACTGGCGGAAAGTGGGGGCGCTCCGGGGGCTCTGGGCAAGACTGTCCCTCTGAGCTTGTCTGCGAAACTGTGTCCCCGCAAAACACACATGCGAGTCCTCAATCTCCATCCCTGTGAGTGTCACCTCATCTGGAAACGGGGTCTTCGCAGGTGGGGTCAAGCTGAGATGGGTCACGGTGAGTAGGGCGGGCCCTGAGTGGCATCTTTATACGAAAACTGAGAACGCGGACGCACGCAGGGGAGAGAATCACGTGACGACAGAGGCAGAGCCCAGAGGGGCACGTCTACAAGCGCAGGGGCGCCCGCAGCCCCCGGGGCAGGGAGAGGCAGGGCAGCCCTCCCCTGGGGCCCTCGGGGGCACGGCCCTGCCCTCACCTGGGTTTCTCACTTCCCGTGTCCAGAGCTGGGAGAGAATAGGTGTTTGTTGTTTTAGGCCACCCAGTTTGTGACAACTCGTTCTGGCAGCCCCAGGAAGCTGCCTCACTCCACAAACCCTCCCTCGAAGCGAACAGAGCCTGTCGCCCTCTGGAGCCTGGCTGGACTGCCGCCTTCTCCCAGGGCCGGGGGAGGGACGCCTGCAGCTCCTGGAGTGTCCCCCTGCCTCAGGCTCCCCCACTCCCAGCTCCCGACTCAGAGAGGGGCGCGGCTCTCACCTGTAGCGGGCGACGCACAGGTGCACCTTCCCTGAGTATCTCTGCCTGCAGGTGCTGGAGCCCCGTTCATTGTCCATCTAGCAAAGACACGTGGGATTTCGTCAAGACGCTGCAGGCTGCATGTTCTGCGTGCGAATCACTCACGACCCCCTTCTGGCCTCTGATCTGCTGCCCCTAGTCTCAGCATCAGGCAGGGCGTTAGCCCAGGGACGAGGCTCCCACAGAGGATGTTTATGGAGGACGTGTGTCCCCTTGCCAAGACTGACTCGGGGTAAGGACGCGCCCCAACATGAGGTAAGGTGTGGGACGCTCCGCAAGTCAGGACCCACTAGGGTCCTTGGAAGACAAAGCCAGACGCTGGCCTGAGCCCCCTGCTCTGGCAGGCTCGGTCCAAGGAGGGAGGGACGTGCCCGCCGGTGGCTCCCAATGCTTCAGGCCAGACAGGAACAACTATCTGGGAAGGCGACAGTGCCCTGCCTCCCTGCTGTCTCAGAGTCCGCGGAGCAGGAGGGCTCAGCCTGCAGCTGTCTGCTGCCCCGTTTGGAGGGGTGAGGGTGAGGTCCAGTGCTGGCCACTGGGGGAGGGGGGCGGTCGTCTTGTCTCACGGGAGGGGGCGGGCAGGTGAGCAACAGTGCGCAGCCCCCTGGTGGGGGAGCAGCAGGTCTGTGCCCAACTCCCCCATAAGACTGTGTGCTGTGGGCACAGGGGACTTCGCAAACGGGGATGAGGCCAAGTCAGCATCTCAGATCCTTTGGGGACCCCACTGGACGCAGACATAAGACAGACAACTTCCATGGCCTGTGACCCAGTGCACCCCCACCCCAGCTCCATGATGGCCAAAGGGGCCCCTCTGGGCTCCATCCTGGACATAACAGCCCTTCTGAGGACAGCCCCTCGCCTCACGCTCTGGGGGGCGGGCTTACTGCTCTGGCTTCACACCTCTCATGGTCCCTGGCCTTTAACGTTGGCCTGTTCTCCGCCTGTGTCCCCCTGGAGCGTGGCGGGTGGTCAATGGGGACTGCTGGCGGGGATTAATGGGGGCGCAGGGAGGTGCCGGGGCCACCGGCATGCACACCGGCCGTCGCGGCACAGGCAGCCAGCTGGGCCTCTGCCAGGACAGGACTCACGTCTGATTCAAATCCGCATCTTGGGCTTCCGGGTCCTGACGGGAAGGCGGGCCTGGCGGGCGGGGGCTCCGGCTTGTCACCAGGGGGCAGCAGGGGCCGGATATGGTCACCAGTCGCAGTGCGGCTTCCGATGGAGCTCTCCTGACCTGGCCACCAACGTCGAGACAACAGGACAAAGGACACAGGTGAAACGGTACAGCGCGCTGGTCACGCGCCTCCCCTGTGCCCTCCTCGCCCTTGGCATCGGCCCTGGAATCCTTTTGGGGACCCGCCCATCCCCCATTCGGTCTTCACAGGCTGCTCTGACCCCACCCTGCTCTGGCCAGCTCCGGCAGAGTCCACGTGTGGCCACAGTGACGGTTTGGGGGTGCCGGCGGCATTGCACGGGAGGTGGGAAGGTCCAGTCAGAGAGAATTTTGTGGGGTCATGGCAAAGAGCCTCCTTTTCCCTGGCTTAGAACAGAGCGTGTGGGGCTCAGTGATGTGGCAGCCACGTCACCGCCAGGCGGAGAACGGGGCTGCTCGCAGGAAGCGGGGCCGTGAGATGCAGAGGAAGTGGATCCTGGGGACACGGCTGGAGCCCGAGCGCATCCAGCAGCACCGGAAGCCGGACTTCGGCTCCATCTGGTCTGCAGGACAAAGTTCTCTTTGCTCACGTCGGCTTAGGATGGCCTTGCTGCCACCCAAGACCCAGAGTCCTCACTGACACACAAAGTGGCCAAAAGGCTGGATTTATGGCTAAAAATACTTTGGACAAGAGACTTAAAGAACCAAAGCAGCTCTCTGTCCACCCCGTCCTCAAGGGACTCAAGATGGCGCTGAGCCCCATCTGGTCACACGGAGGACAACCGAGCACTTTGGCCAGTGGTGGCCCGACTGTCACATCCGAGCCAGGCGCTGTTTCCTGGGACACAGCTGTGAGACTCAGACGCGACCACGCCCCCCAGCCCCGGGCTCTCGGCGCCCGGCAGACAGAGGGCCCTCCTCCGGTCCCTCGCTGTGGGTGCCTCCGCGACACTGCCTCACCGGAGAGCCGGACTTGCTGAGTCCAAATCAGCACGGATCAAGTGATTCAAATGCCGTGAGAAGAGTCCCAGCAGAGGCCGCCACGGCACGGATGACCACACACGCCCGCAGCCCGGCCTGGTGTGGCAGCCCAGTGGAAAGCGTCACTGTAGCAGAGGGTGGGCGCTGAAATGGCACGGGGTCCCCTGCTAGGGTGTCGGGCTCCGGAGAGCAGGGCCTTTGCTCCGTTCAACGCAAAACGCCCCAATGCCCACGGCAGCGCGGGGCATGCGGCCAGTGCCAAGAAAATACTGATCGAATGACTGAGCCCCCGAGGCCTCAGAAAACCAGCTGAGAACAGGGCCTGGCTACAGACAAGGCCACTCCTCCAGGAAGGCAGGAGAGGTGTCACCCCGACACGCAGCTTGTCCCGCCAGGGACCTGTGGCTGGGGCAGCCGGTGAGCAACCCACTGTGTCCCCTCCTGCATCGGACCGTGCCAGGCGGGGGCTCCACCTCCCAGCGTGCTCCCTGCCAGGCGTCCAGGGCGGTTCTGTCCCTGGGCAGTCTCCGCCGCCCCGGTGTCCGAGGGGACTCTGCACAGTGAGGCCCCAGGGCGCACGCGCTGCCATTTCTTGCCCCGCCCGCACCCAGGCCAACCTGGTGCCAGGCAGGAGGACGCCCAGGGGACACCCAGGGGACACGCAGCCCTCTGCCTGGTCCACCGCAGGTCCGTGAGGCCCTGCCCGTCCTCTGCCAGCCCCCGCCGCCAGGAGTCCTTCCCTGTAGGCACTCATGTCCCTTCTGTGGGGACATGCTCAGAGGCAGCCCCCTGAGCTGGGAGGAACTCTGCTGCACTGACCAGGCTCTGGAGCAGTGCCACAATCCCTCTTCCTCTTTTTACCTGGGAGGATGGCAGGGTCACAGGAGGGGCCCCTCATGGGCCCCAGCCCGTAATCCACACGGCAAGGAGGACCCTAGGCCGACACCAAGTGTGCTTGGGCTGCCAACGGACCAGTGGACAATGACGGTTCATTAGACGGGCTGGGTCACCCAGGAGAAGCCTCTTCCAATGGCCTGACGGGAGCCACTACCACCCAGCCTCCCGCCAGGAGCCCAGCGACTCGCTCAGCAGAGACACGGAACTGCTTCGGTTTTGCTGGCTTCGCTCTTGGGGTCTATTTTCGATCATCGTGACTCAGATCCCTTTTTCCAGGTCAGTGTTAACTCTGATTCACTCCCACGTAGCCACGAGCTTTCGCTGGAATAACACGTTTGCCAGCTGTGTGGAAAACAGTCCCCGCAGCAGGCTGAGCCCGCTGTTTCCAGAAAGTGCAGGGTGGGGCCTGGCTGTCGGGGACGCAGCATCCCACACGCCCCCTGCCCTGCCGGGAGGGCTCCCTAGCCGACTAGGGGGTTTACTGTCACCACACGGCGTGTGCAACGTGCTTTATGCCAAGCACCGGCCTTCCTGGGCGCTGGCATGTGCCAGGCACAGACACCTAGGTGACCGGCCTTGCTGGGGCACTGGGGATCAGTGAACACATTTGGGGGCTTGGGGACCCTCAAAAGCATGCACCGCCAATCTGATATGACCACCCAACTGAACCCTTTCTCCACGTGAGAGCTGAGACTGTCCTATCCCTTCCTGTCCCCCAGCTTTCACAGCCCCAATGTCACTTCCTGGAAGTGCCGTCTGCCAACTACCCCACCTCAGTGGCCCTGGGTCACCTTCTGTCATGTCGCCCTATCCCCCACACCCACATGCGTGGCGCTGCCCAGTCACCCATCCGTCCACTTGTTTCCTGTCTGCGTCCACCCGCCGAGGGGGGCTCCACGCAGGGCCAGGCCCTCTGCTTACTGTCACAGCCTGGGCTCCCTGAACACGGCCTGGCTGCCGCTGCTCGGAGCCCACACGGCAACGTCCAGACCCTCCTTCCCGCCACCCTGCCTGCACGGCCACTTGTACTCCGTCTCGTGCTTGAGCAGGAGTGGGAGGGCGTGGGGAGGGGACCCGGGGCTGTTATTCACCAAGAGGCAGTAGCGTCACCTCGTTTTAGTCATAGAAAGTGTCAAAGAGAGCTTATCACGTGTTCTGATAAGAACGAGCAACTTGCAAGTTCTCTCTCCCCCATGGAACTCCAAAGGGGACTTCCGGCGCTCGTCTTCCCCAGACTAAGAAAATAAACTTTAAACGGGCGGGGGACGGAACCGGAACCGGTGCAGCCTACGACCTGTCAGCGGGCAGAGCGTTTTTCACTGTGTCTGTGCTGGAAACCTCGACCAGGTTTCACTAACAGCCTCTGTGATCATCGTGCCTGAGACAAACACAAGCCACCCCAACGCGAAGCCAGACGCCCCGCTCCCCACCCCGCCTCCGAGGCGCCCCGTAAGTGCAGTGTTAGGCTCGCCCCTGGGTGGCCGCAGAAGTTCCAGGCACGACCCGTGCCATCAGGAGGCTGCTGGGCTGCAGCTGAAGCACAGAGCGTGGCTGGCAGGCCCTGAGGCAGGAGTGACAGTGGGGACCCTGAGCCACACCTCCTGGTTCAAGTCCCGCTCATGGCCTCTCAGCTGCGTGTCCCCCCCAAGGGTCTCGGCCTTCCCGACTGTGAAGTAAGCTCAGGACAGCAGGGAGCGCACTTGTCACCACCCGTCGAGTGCTCAGTGCAGGCCTAGCACGCCGGACGCGCTCACCACTGGCCTAAGCCCTGCGACCCCTGCTGCTCTCCCAGGGGCGCAGGCCACGTCTCCAGCCCGGCCTAGGCGGGGCTCCAGGCACCTACCTGTGCCGATGGAGGGGGCCAGTCCGTTCATGAATCGCGGGAAAGGCTTGCTGGGGGGCGGGGGGCCGTCCGAGGGGGCCGTGGAGCTGCCCAGCAGGTCGATCCTCCCCGCGTGCTGCCGGAACTTCTCCAGGTCCCGTGACAGCAGGCCGAACTGCTCGCTCTGCGCCCGGCACCTCTCCTCCAGCTCCCGCACCCTGCACTGCGGGAGAGGCACGCGCCGTCAGCGGGCACCGGGCGGTGGGGATGCACGTGTGCGTGGGAGCGCGCCGTGTCTGTGCGTGCTGTGCGCAGTGTGCACGTGTCGTGTGTGCACGTGTGCATGTGCCCATGTGTCGTGTATGCATGTGTATGTGTTGTGTGCGCATGTCGTGTGTGCGCCTGTAGTGTGTGCACGTGTTCATACGTGTGCGTGTGTACATTGTCTTGTGCCGTGTGTGTATGCATTGCCGTGTGCGCAGCTATATGCATGTCGTGTCATGTGTGTGTGCATGCGCCATGTTGGTGCACTGTCATGTGTGCGCATGTGTCATGCGCCCACGTGTGCCTGTGTGTGCGTCATGTGTGGTGTGTGCATGTGCAGTCATGTGTCATGTGTACGTGCATGTGTGCATGTATTGTGTGCATGTTGTGTGCATGTCGTATGTACGCGAGCATTGCCACGTGTGCACGTGTGCCGTGTGCATGTGTCATGTGTGCGCGCATATACATTGTCGTGTGTGTGTGTCGTGTGCACATGCGTGTGCTTTCATGTGTACGCGCACGTGTATGTGTCATGTGTGTCTGGGCTGCCTCCTCCCTCCACACAGAACAGCGCCGGGTAGCACCAAGCCTCCCACACAGCCTGGCTGTTGGCCAAGTTCCCTTCCAGGCGAGTGTGGGAAAACACAGGTGCCCAGAAACTCAGCCAGCGCTCAGACCCCGCCAGCCGCAGACTGCTCTGGGCTCCACGTGCAGCCCGGGCACTTTGCGGTTGGCACGCCCCCTGCAGCGGTTTGGAATCTGGAGCGTGAGGCGGTGGCACGGCCCAGACTCGGGGACGCTCGCACGCTAACCCACCGATGCGCCTTCCTCGCAGAGTCACAGAGCCCCAGAGGACACGGCTTAGCAGGAGAGGGGAAGCTGTTTGCGGGGTTTGGCTGGCGACGCGGCTGCTCTTCACAGACACCTGGAGACATCCTGGAGGCCAGGGAGGGTGGCATCTCCCTCAGGGGCTCGTGTCAGAGAAGGGGTGGCCCAGCAGCTCCCCGTCTTCTCTGGCTCCTGCCCCGGCTCTTGCCCTGCTCCTGCCCCGGGTCCCTGGACATCGCGGACGGCACTTCCTGTCCCGCTGCCGAAGGGAGGCTTTGTGCCCGGTGGGCGCCCATGCCACGGAGGGGCACCTGAAGGTCTGCTCTGCCTCCTCGCCCTGCGGTGCTCTCTTCATGGTGCTCACTGCCCCCCCCCACCCCCGATTCATTAGTCCGCTGATCATTTCTCATCTGTCTCTGTGACTTGCCGGTAAGCTCGAGACTTTGCCTCCTGGCTCTGATACGTCCTCAGTGCTTTGCACAGAATTGGCGCATAGTAGGTGCTCAATAAATATCTCCTGGGTCATCAAAAAGAGGAACCCTGATAGACGCCCTGAGTTCCTCGCGGCAGCGGCTCGCCGCGTCTGCATGGAAGTCCCGCCTCGTCTCTGCTCCTGAAGCCATGACACGCGGAACACCACGGTCACTGTGCTAGAGACGAGTGAGCCGTCAGCATTCTCCCACTGAAATGCCAGCTCCGCCAGGGCAGGGATCTGCCTGCTTCTTGCCCGCTGTGTCCCCAGCACCTGGAGGAGAGTTGGCACCAAGTTGGTGCTCGGCAGAAGCTCGGTTTCATACAGGCTTGAGCGGGGGGCTGTAACAAACGACCCTCAGACCCCCTCCCCGTCCCCAACACCAGTATGAAGCTTCTTGGCTCCCTAGTTCAGAATATAGTGCTATTTATGTCTGAGACCGCAGGTTTCTAAATATAAACCTAACAGATCCCAAACCTGTGATTAATTTCTTCGATTCATTAAAAAAGACCTCAGCGGGATTCTGCTTCTAAAAAGCTGAATGAGCCCAGCTGCACCGTGGTCCCCACCCCAGGAGGCGGGCGCCCGGGCACAGGCGGGTGCGGGGGCGTCGGTGTCGGTCGGCCTGAGCCGGGGTCCGGGTCTGATGCACATCTAAGTCCAAGGCCCACAGGATGGGGTCTTGCAACTTGATCTGATGGGGAGGGCGGGGGAGCAGAAGAGGGGGTCCAGGCAGCCCTGCGGGGTCTCAGGCATAACCAGGGAGCTGGGCTCGGGCAGAGTGGGGGGATGGCAGCACCTATCCCAAGCCACTGCGAACGCAGTCCCCTGGGTACCCACTGCTGGCAGAACCCAGGGCCTGAGGTTTCTGCAGCCTCCCTCAGTCACCCCTTCTTCCAGGAGCCTTTGTTTGTTTGGGGGACCTGTCGCTGATGGGGAATGTGACAGGCCATCCCCCGGCAGCTGGCTCAGGACGAGTCTGTAGAAACAAGGGTGGGTCTGGGAGCCGGTGGGGCAGAGCTAACGTCAGACCATTGTGGGGCTGGATGTCCCCAGGGGCCAATGGGGATGACAGAAGGGAGAGGGCAGAGGGCAAACCTGTAGGGAAGTGGGGAACACAGAGAACGGGGGTCTGTGACTTCTCCGCCTGGGTCAAACCCGCAGGGAATTTCCATTCTCCCGAGAGAAGCAGTAAATCTTCATTCTGATGCAAAACGTCCCAATCTTCAAACTTTGCAAGTCTTTCAAAGGCTTATTAACATCCTGGCAAGGCACAGCTGAAGATGGGCGTGGCCTGTGGCCGCAGTTCCGTGATTCTGCTGTACGTGGACAAGGGGTGGCGTCCTGGCAGCGGGCCTTGCAGCCCCGGGGTGGCTTCTGGCTGCACCTGCAGCAGTCCTGGCACACAGGACGCTCCCTCGGCATCTGGGGCCCGGGCGTCAGGAGCGGAACTGATGACCTTTCCGGGTGGAGGGCAGTGCCGCAGGGAGGGCACTTTTGCTTCAGGGCGGTCGGTGGCTGTGACTGGGAGTCCCGCCCCGGGGGTGGCCATGGCAGCCGCGCTACCGCGGTGGCTGCCCCCACACGCCCGCCACCTGCATCCCCGCCAGCGCCCCGGGCACACGCACTGGCAGGGCTGGGAGCAAAAGCAACTGGTCAAGCGATCAGCGTCCCCCAAGCTGACGGACACGAGAAAAGGGCATTCACGGGGACACGGGAGGCACTGAACACGTCGATGGCCTCCAACGTCCCCGCGCCGCCCCGTGTGCTCGTGCGGACGGCGATGGCCTCCAACGTCTCCACGCCGCCGCGTGTGCTCGTGCGGACGGCGATGGCCTCCAACGTCCCCGCGCCGCCCCGTGTGCTCGTGCAGACGGCACCCCTGTCCGGGTCCCCAAATGGTTCTGTGTCCAGACACAGACTCGGAGGTTTCCTAGTTGTCCGAGGCCAGCAGAGCCAGGCCATGGCAAGGTGACATGCTTCCCGGGAAAGCCTTCCGTGGGAGCTGGTGGGGGACCTTGTTGAGGCACCATCCTGTGCCTGCTTCACATGGGGACGATGTGGCCAGAGACGTGCTTTCGTTACAACCGTATTGTCACGGAGTGTGCACTCTCATCCACTCCGGTGGCCCTTCCGGGCTTCAGGGCGGCAGGACGCAGCCCTCAGACCCCAGGCAGCTACGGACGCCTGCCCTCCCCGCGTCAGGGAGGGTCAGAACGAGGCGGGTGCCGGGCCCGTAAGCTGCAGCGCCTCACGGGTGAGGGCCCCCTCGAGGCTCTCTGCTGCGCACCCCCCAGGAGCGAGGCAGTCCTGCAGGAGCTCCAGGGGGACAGGCCCAGCCAGCCGGCAGCTGCAGGAGGCGTGCGTGGCTGGCGCAGACGGCTGCTGGGGGAGGTGTCTCCAGGGGCCCCTGCGTCACTAGTGGCAGGAACTGCTTCTGATCGGTGCAGAGAGATGGGCAGCCCGCCGCTCTGCGGGCCGGCGTGTCTGGACGTCAGTTTCCATTCCAGGCCCCCTGGCTGTGGGGTGAGGCGGGCAGGCGGAACCAGGCCCGTGTCACGTGACCCAGCCGCCCCAGGTCCCCAGTCCTGCTTCCCTGGCCCCACCTCTGCCAGTGCGGCCACCAGCCACCTGCTGCACCGAGTGAAGGGTGCCGCTCAGACGCTGTGCGCCCGGACCGCCCGGGGACAGACGGCGCCATCGTTAGGCGAGTGAACCATAATCGGAACAAACCGGGCAGACGTGCCGGTCTGGACGTGGCGATTTATAAAAACGAAGGAGAACGCTCCAGACACGTGATGCCAGCGTTCCAGGTTCCTCGGCCAGTTTCCCCTCCCACTCCTGGCTTCACCCAGGGAGGCCGGTGAATGGGTGCCGGGCCCTGTGACCACTGTCCGAACCAGGACAGCTGGAGGACAGGGCCGCTGTGACTGATGGCTCCAGAACAGCGAACCCCGACCGGGTCCCCGCTGCAGGAGCCACTCGCCTCTGTGTGTAAAGGAGGATCGCGAAGCTATTTACCACTTGCTGAGGACCTACTGTGCGTTAGGCGCTGCCAGGGGCGGCCTGCATCGTCCCCGAAGGCCAGAGACTCAGCGGGGTCGAGCTGGCGTGAGCCCACCACACAGCAAGGGAGATGAGGCCACGGCGGGCTGAAGGCCACGGGCACACACCCCGTGGGTGGCGGGACAGATCCAGGTCTCTGGCTTCAGGCTCTGAGCTGGGCCCACCCCGCCCTCATTCAGGGGACCGACAGGCAAGCCACGTGACCTCAGCGGGCCCCACTTCCCTCCTCTATAAAGTGGGGTGTGGCATGCCTTCCAGAACCTGAGCACAAACCGGGAGCACAGGCCCTGACGGGTGTGGGGTGTGGAGGGGCTCCACTGCCCTCTGCGGGCAGAGGCTCGGCAGGGATGTTGCACAGGGACGCGAGCTGTGCCCCATCCACCCAAGCTACGTCACACTGGGCTGACCAGGCAGGTTTTCAGAAATGGGACGGCAGCTCATTGGAGCCCACGTGAGCACATTAGCACCCCTGCTTCTTACCGTCAGCGAGGGACACCGAAGTGCCCTCAGTGTTGCCTCAGGCGACCTCGAACAAGGAGCCCCTGCCACTACCCGTGTAACGCCCACCCACTCTGGCTGCTGCCCACGGTTATCACACACACAGACCACAACCCCCTCCGAGCAGGCTCTGCGTTCCAGAATCTTCACAGGACAATGCCACGTGATACTGAACGTCACTGAGCGGTGACCGAGGGGAGACTCAAGAGGGTGGAGTGCTCCATCTAGGGAACGCTTTGCACCCTGCAGTGTGTGTGGATTCGCCCCATTAAGGCACGCGGGTGCTACACGTGCACCCCGGCTCGTGTGCCTGGCACAGCCATCAACCTGCCCGAGCAAACGCGGTGGCTCCGGCTGCCGGGCACAGGGCGGGGGCCTCCTGTTTCTGTGCGGATGTGCATCCCACCGGGCGCCATGCGCACAGACAGGTGCTGTTCCTGGCTGCGGCCGGGACTCCTGTGCTGCCCGCCGGTGGTGGCTGTCGCCCTCGGGTGCCAACGGAGGCAGAGGAGCGGTAGCAGTTCGTCTGGGGTGGCCAAAGTCCCAAATATGGGAACACAGGGGCTGTCCTCATCCCCCGCCACCTCCTCTCCCAGCCGAGACTCGAGGGCTTGGCTCGCTAAGGCTATGCCCAGGGGTGGGGGCAAAGACCACAGCCCCCGGAGGAAGGGCGCCCCCAAGGAACAGAGAATGCACAACGTCGGTGAGGGATGAATCTGCGCATCCGCTTCTCCGATTCTCAACTTGACTAATGTTCTCACACTCGACTGTCACACTGCATTGTCTTGTGCGGATCCCAGAACTCAGACGAGGCGGACGAAACACCGTGGGGCCGGGGAGACGGCACCTCCCCCTTCTGCACTGAAGCCGGCCGTGTCACCTTCCGGCCAGTGGCCCGCGAGCCGAGGTGACACGTGCTGCTTCTGATAGGGGCCGCCACACCGCCCATTTTCCACACAGATGCAGACACACAGGTGCAGCGTTCAGGCGCCAGCTCTGGGTTCTGATGAGCGGCCCGATTCGGGGCCGTCGGCCGGGCTGCCCCCAACGTGGCCGGCCCGGGGCGAACAATTCCTCCCCCTGTGGTCATCTGACTTCCCAGAACTGTTCTCCCAGCCTGAAAGTTACAGCCTCAGCAGAAAACGGGAAACCAGGTTCGCTGGGCCTGCTCGACATTGAGACCAGAGCCTAGTGTCCCAAGGCCCGACAGAGCCCTTCCCCCCAGGGCCCCCGGCCCTGACCACCCCTACGACAAGAAGAGGAGCTGAGCAGGCCCAGGGAGCGAGGCTGCTCCAAGCCGGGGAGGCGGCACCAAGCACACGGGGGGAAGCACTGTCGCCTAAAATACCTGCATGCTGTCCAGGGCGCTCTGGGGGAAGCAGCGAGACAATCACAGAAATGCGTGTGGACAGAAGAAGACACGATTCTCAGCACATCGCACGCCTGTCCCTTTCAAACCAAAGCGTGTCATGGCCGTTCCCACAATCAAGGCACGCACTGCCACCAGCACCGGTGACGTGACCTCAGCGGGACTGTCACAGCGGCAGCTCAGAAGGCGAATTAAAACAACACAGACCATCAAAGCAACGGGCCGAGGATGACTGCAAAAAAGCAGCCACACTTGCAGCCAAGAGATGATGCAGATTCAAGTGTGGCAGGGGACGCAGGCAGGGGACCCGTGATGCCTACAGCGTCCGCGTCCACCCTCCAGGCCGCGTTTCCCCTCCTGCCATTCATCACACTCAACCCCCAGATCTTCATTAGCTAATGGACGCTTTCAAAAAACCAGTTTGAACACGTGACGATGCTGATGGAACCTCTTCCTGAGGGAGGGACAGATCTTAAAAGGTGACGTAAGAGGCACGAACGTCCTGTTTCCTGGGAACGGGTCTTACAGAGGGCGCTGCACCCGCAGCTGGAGGTGGCAGGCCCAGGACGGCCCCCGTGGCCCCTGATGGAGTGAACCCCAGGGAGGAGGCTACGTGGGGCCAGCACGTGCTTCTGCTACCACCCTCTGCGGCCGGGCCTGCAACCAAGGGGCCAGGGCTGCGTGACCGCCGTCTCCGGCAGATGGAAGGCCGGGCCTGCTCACCGTGACCCATTTATTACGCATGAAGCACACGGAGAGCAAAGGCCTCCGGTGAGCCCACGAGGTCTGTCCAGATCTGCCCGTCCACGCACTCCCGAGGAGGCGTCAGGCCACAAGCCGGGACAGAGAGGTGGCCACGCACTCCCGACGCAGCACCGGTGCTGGCCAATTCCCTGCCAAGCCCCACCATCAGGGGCGGTGAGAAAAGCCTCTGGTGGCTGAGGAGGGCCACGTGCCATGGTCGCTGGGGACAGTGCCCTGGCGATGCCTGCGACGGCCCTCACTGCTGATTCCTGAGTCACCCTTCTGATCCTGCAAACGCCTCCCCAGGCACCAACGGCCAGTGCCCCCTCAGGGTCCTCTCTGTCCCTTCGAATTTTACCCTGCATAATTCGCGTGATGGCAGGACACCCTCGGGGGTGGTGCACCCCCACCTTCTCCCAGACACAGGCCCCTTGCCACTGGACTGGAGCCTGGCTGGACAGGAGTCTGGAGCAGCCGCAGCCGTCTTGCCGCCGTGAGGGGCACGGCTGGAGAGCCAGGGACCTCGCGGAACCCAGCTGGCTCCCGCGCGAGGCCGCCCTCCCGCTTTCCACCCGAAGGAGCCCGTGGAGGCGAGAGGCCCACGCCCGGACCCAACGCCCTGGTGCGGCAGTGTGGGGGAGACCGCTCTCAGGCGAGGCGCCCTGCACAGGCTGCACGTGCAGACGGTGTCGAGGAAGCGTGGCCACCACGAGTGACCTGCACCCGCGGCACGCAGCCAACAGCAGCTGGGGTTTCCCGCCGGCCCCGCCGCGCAGCCCGGCCTCACGCTTACCTCTAGCAGCTGCACGGCACCCTCGTGCTCCCTCTTGGCTTCAAGCTGAGCCTTTATGACGACAAAAAAGAGAAAAGTGAATGCTGAAGGGGAAAAGAGAATGGAATTAACGTCTGAATTAACGGGGACTGGGCCGCTGACTTTCATCCCCCTAACAAGCCTCAGGCTCTAAGGGTCTGGGTCAGTTCTCATTTTTCTGCCTCATTGGGCGAGACAGACTGGATTTCGGCTGGGTTTGAGTCTGCACAAATCGGGATGTGCGCCCTGGGCTACAGAGAGCGGGTGGGCTGGTGGCACTGGGCGGCAGGTCGGGGGGACGTCCTGGTACTGTCCTGAGACGAGGTCACACGCTTGAGGTGGATGAACCCAGAACGACAGGGCAACTATCCTGAAGCCTCGGGAAGCACCGTCATGTCCCCGACTGTCCTTAACCACTCCAGAAACAGAACACGGTCATGCGAACTTGCCCCCCAAGGAGCTGAAGGTCAGCCGAGATCTCATGGGCCCTAGGAGAGGCCGCGATGGGTCCTGAGCCTCTAAAGGCTCCCAGCAGTTCAGCCTGTAGCAGCCCCCGACCCCCAAATGGCTCAAAGCAAAACCACCTGCTCCAACAAATAAAAAAGTTTACAAGTTACTAAAGGGGGTGGGGGAGGACGAAGAGGGCACAGGAACCAGGTACGTGGTGACGGAAGGAGACCAGACCCTGGGCGGTGAGCGCACAGTGCAGCGCGCAGATGGTGTGACACGGGTGCGCCTGAAACGTGCACGCTAGTCACCGACGTCGCCCAGCACAGTTAACGTGAACACAAGAATTCTCGGATCCGCAGGATTCCCTCTAGGTGCCCACAGAATACTGAGTGATTCAACATCACGCAGAGCCAACGAGTGTCATCTTAGCAGCGTCTACTTCTCACTCGCAAACTGAGGGGAGGCTCGGCTTCCCCAGCACGGAGAGTGACAAGCGGCCCGAGCTTTCGCAGCCCTCATTCACACACACCCATCCTCACGTGCTTCCAGCGAGGCTTTTAAGAGCTGAGGAAGGGAACAGAACACAGCCAATTAACTACACCATTCTGGAATTCAGCTCAATCTTCAAACGCTTACGCTTGTTCCTTTCAAAGCAAACACAAGAGCGACGATACATAACAAAACAGGAGAGAAAGATGAACCACCCCAGAACAGACCGGGATGACGTAAATACCACCACCACGGAGCCACTGGAGTCGAAGAGGGTTTTAAAACGGCAGGATGAAAACAGAAAACGCCACGGCGGCTGTTAGACTCGGCCAGTCTGGCAGTGGCGGCTGATTCCGGCTTCGCGTGAAAATCAGGGGTTGGGTTCGCAGGCTACTTGAGAGCTGGGCCACCGGGCAATCGGAATGCAGTGTTAAAATTAACAGTGAAAATGGCAGCGCCGAACGCTTTCAAAATCTAAGCAACAGCTCGAGCAAGGCCCGATTCGGGAGCCAGTGCCAGTTCGTGGGGAAGCAGCGACCTCCATCGAGACGCGGTCTCCCGGAGCACAGGGACGCCTGCAAGGAACCGTGACTCTCAGGGAGGCTGGGTCCTGCTGTGAGAAGGGTGGGCCACCTGAGGGAGTGGACGTCCGGGGGCGGACCACGCAGCCACAGGGTCCCAGGGGCGGATCACACGGGGCGACAGCAGACATCCTGTTGCCACAGCTCTGGCCGTAGGCTGGAGCGGCGGGGCGCACACAGCCCAGAGCAGAGGTGACAGTGGGGCGAGGGCCACACGCGGGCTAGGACGGGGCGGGTGAGGCCGCTCATGGTGCTATCGACTAGCTCCACAGGAAAGTGAGTGAGACTCCCAGAGCCGGGCGCGGCCGAAGCATCCTCACGACAGGGTCCTCGAGCTCCGTGGAGCGGAGGAAGCTGACGGCACAGACCGCTGTCCAGGAGGGGGTCGTGGGAACAAACCAGATCGGGCCAGCTGCCACACTGACCGGACACACTCCATGGTCCCCTGCCACCTACTGCAACCGAACCGCGACGCCCAGGGGGTCGCCTGAAGGCGGCCGGGCTCACAGTGAACAGGAAGCCAGCTCCGTCCCTGCCCCTTCCCCAGGAGCATTTCAGGAACAGCCTCGGCCCTTCCGCTGGAGGGAGGAACTCGAACCCACAGCAAACCCGCCAGTCTGCAGACCAACGTTAAGTAGGGAGAAGCCGTCTAGTTCCCAGCCCTGACTATGGCTGGGGCCCGTCAGGGGACAGGGGTGCCCGGAAGCCGTGAGGCAGCCTCAGGCACCGCGCCTGTGATGGGCCCGGCCCCGCGGTGGCAGTGAGGGCTAATGGACGGGCCTTTTCCGCCCCACACAGGCCTCGCCAAGGACCGCGCACACCTGTCACCAGAGCCCTCGGCCACGGCGCAGACGCGGTCCTCCACCCCGCCACCCCCCCACTCAAGGCTCTTCAGCACCTCCAGTCGCTCACTGCCGCTGAGCGCAGGCTGGGACGGGGACACCACGGCCTGGGCAGGAGTCTCAGGGGACACGGAAGGTAAGCACCCCCCAGGGGTGTGACCGTCCTCAGGGAACTGTACAGCTCTGGCGGGGAGCCTGGGAACAGGGGCTGAGGGGTGCACAGAGAACCGAGCAGACAGAGGAAGAGGCGATCACCCCAGAGCAGAGACCAAGCTGCCCGAAAGGGGACAGGCTGCCATTGGCGGAGCCCGGGAGGTCGGGGAAAGAGCGGGCCGCTGAGGACGGGTGAGCGTGGGCCATGATGTTCGCGGCCGTCCCCGCTGGATGTCAGGAGGGAGGCTGGATGTAAGACGTGAGGCCCAGACGCGGGGCCTGACTTGGCAACGCAGACGTGGGAGTTGGCACACAGGCGGGTTCAAGCCACAGGGCCCGAGGAGATGGCCGAGGGAGCCGGTGCCGAGGAGGCCGGGCGGACGGCTGGGGGCGCACCGGTGATGTGCAGATGCGACCGTGCGGGACGAGGAAACCGGAAGGCGGTGGCGTCCTGGAAGCCATCCCCACTGGGGTGGCCGCCTCGAACTGTGCCTCTGCGTCAGCAAGGATGAGGACAGGGAACTAGCCACTGGGCGTGCTGTCCACGTATGGGCGACTTACCAAGAGCCACTCTGTGGCTGAGGTGACAGTGGGGGTCCCACTGGAGTGGGTTCGAGAAAGAGCAGGAGTCACAGTCAGAGAGAATAGCTGGCCCTTTTGAAATCTCTCTCACTCTGTCTCGTCAGAATCAGCTCCGGACCTCTGATAGTTCTGGTGACCCTTGTCATGGCAGGGGGACCTGGACTGGTCGACCCCTAGCCTCACAGTGGAGGTATGTGGCTGAGTGCTCACGTGCAAACGCCGTCTGTATTGCTTACTAGCCACGTGACATCTGGCATGGCCCGTCACCCCAAGTCTTCAGCTTCTTCAGTGAGGAAACGGGTGACTTCTGAGGAACACGATGAGCGTCAAGCAAGAGAATTCGCATCACAGCACGTCCCTGCTCCCCGTACACACCCGCTTTATGTGGGTGTAAAGATGCCATTTGCTTCCCTAGCACTTCCTGAGCCCGTGAGGTTCTTCCTAAGACTCCCCAGGTCAAGGAGTGCCAGGCCCCCCACAGCCCGTGAACAGGGGCCCCCAGCCCTGCGCTGTGTACGGTAAGGGAAACGCCCTCCACTGTACGTTCTCGTGAAATGAAAACACGGGATGCTAATGACCGCAACGCATGACGGTGCCTCTCTGCACTAGTGCCTTGGAGGCCGCCCTTAGGCTCCGCTGAGCAGATGAGGTCGGGCCGTGGCGCTGGGCTCTCCCGATCTGCGACATCTGAAAACCCTTTGGGCTCCCTCCAGTGGAAACAAGGAGTTGGACGCGGCTGACCCCTGCTGGGACACCGTGACTGTAGCCCTGGCCATTTTCCGTTCAAGTGCACGAGCAGACAGAGCACCTCACAGGTGTGCGTCTGGATGCCTCCGAAGGCAGGTGCAGACTAAGCCAGCTGCGGCGCGGCCTCCCTCCTGCCCAGACCCGCACACGGGTGCTCAGGACGGTGCCGTCCTTGGTCCTCCCCCAACCCCCACCCCGGTGCTGCCCAGGGCCCCGCCCACAACCCCCTAGGGGCACTGCCAACCATCCTCCCAACTCTCGGTGGCAGGCTTCACCTCCTGCCACCTACACTGTCACCTGCACTGTCACCAGCCCAGTCAAGACACCAGGCTTCCTAGTGTCCGTGCCACCGGCCTCCCTGTCCCCCTGCAAATCAGCCCCCGAAGAGCACTGGCAGGGATTCTGAAGAACGCGACTCAGATCTGGACCCCTGCTCACCCCTGTCACGGTTGCCTCTCCCCCAGAATGCAATCAATCTCCTTCCTGGGGCCTCCCCAGCGCCGGGGTACAGCCCTCTGCGCCTGCTGATGCAGCCCACCCGCGGCACTGCCCACCCCACCCGGTCCCCTACCCCCCGCACGCAGCAGCTCCCTCCACCGGCGCGCACTCGCCCAGGACCACTGGCCCAGGACCGCTCGGCCAGGACCACTCGGCCAGGACCTGGGCCCGTCTGAACGTGCTGCCCCTTCGGTGTGGCCATCCTGCTTCCTCCCCCGTGGCGTGTTCGCCGTCTGAGCTCAGCTAACTGCCCGCGACTTGCCCACTGGCTCTCACTCTGGGCGGGGCGGCAGCCCAGTCTCCCAGCCCTCGAGTTCCCAGGCTCCAGAACTGGGCTGAGCAGACGGCCGGCGTCTGCTGCGTGCGATGCGGTGGCCGGGCGTGGTGCCGTCGCTGTCCCTGGCGGGAGAATTCACTGACCTCCCCCCGCTCAGGCTCACCTTCCTCTTCTAACTTCTAAAGTTCTCAGAATTGGCACCCGCGTACTTCCTCAGTTTCTCTTCCTCCTCTCTCCCTGCCGATGAAGCGTCCGTGTCCAACACAGAAACAACAGTGACCGTACAGAACAAGGAGCCCCTGGAGCCGGATGGTGCGCACACGGGCGCGGGCTCCAGGGCGCGGAGCGGGCTGCAGCGTCCCCCTGGGCATCGAATGCTCAGTAAACACGACTCTAGGCTCTGCTGAGAAAAACTGACCGGGCTGTTATTTGTATCTCCGCTGGCTTATCGTCTGCCTGAGATACACAGCTTGGGACGAGCTTCCGGGGTCGCGGTGAGCGGGCGCAGGTGCCACGCTGCCGTGTCCGGGCAGCAGGTCCGCAGCGCACAGCGGGAGCAGGCAGGAGGTGCTGCTGCCCGTCTGCCAGCAGCGCCCTTACTGGACAGCATCTAGCGGAATATGCTTCTCGGCGTGCCAGCCGCCTCGTCATAACAGGCGATGAGGGCTGTGACGGGCCCCATCCGCCGGGGCTTAATGAAATCGACGCTTAATGCGAGGTCTCGATGATCAGAGCACCGGCATCTGAGGTTACCCTCCTGACGCAGCAGCCCCACGAATCAGCTCTGGAGGTGATTCTGGAGGACGCCACGGGCAGACCCCTCTGGGCTGCAGGCTGGGGGAACGGGGGCGTGGACTGAAGACCTGGGGAGGCTGCGGCCACTCAGATGGGCGAGCTGTCTGCTGCCTGTCCAGCCGGCGCCAGTCACTTGCTTCCCTCCTTCTGCCCACCAACGAGATGAGCTCTGGTTGCCCGTGGGGGGTGGGGCAGGGGCGGCGGGGGACACTGGGCTTCAGGAAGGAAAAGACTAAGAACCGTGCACAGGGACCCCAGCCCCCATGGCTCCAAAACAGTGGTCGTCTTTCTAACAGTGGGGCCGGAGCTCCGTCTCGGCCCCCGACCCTCCCGGGTGCTACGGGCACAGGTCACACTCAGGCCTGCGTCCTCCCCCTTCCTCTGGCTTCGCTTCTGCCTTCCTCCGTGCTCACGTGCACTCGCTCGCTCACTCGCTCTGTCAATGAGATCACTCTGTAAACACTGCCCTGAAATTTGCTTTGCTCCCTCAGTAACACGCAGTGTAACTTCCCAAGAGAACGAGCTAAAATCGCTCCTGTTGACTGCGTCGCACTGGTCCATATGTGGACACACCGTGACTGGCACGGCCACGCCCTCGGACAGGCAATAAACTTAATCCAGCTCCCACCCCTGCCCCGCACAGCACTGCGAAACCCCAAAGCCCTGGGAGCTGGGTCCTGTCTTTGCTGCAGGCACGCTCCCAGGGGGGAGGGTCGCAGGGTCAAACTGTGCGTGGGCTTTGTTTCAACCAACGCCCCGGGCTGAAGCAACGGCCCCGCGAGTGCCCTTCTCCCTGCAGTCTCGCCAGCAACGGATGTTAGCGCTTTCCGTTCGCTCCTGTGGCACAGGACACGGACATGGGGCCGCGAAGGAGAAGCCAGACAGCTCAGGGGGGCTCAGAGGACCCAGGCCTTTCCGGCTAGGAAGGGAGGGAGACGCTCTGGAGTGTGGCAAAGGCCGGGTGGACAGCCGGCCCGCACCCGTGGCCCCCCAGCCCTCCGCCCGCACCCCTCCGCCCCAGGGAGCCCCCCGCGCCCCTTACCTTCTGCAGAAGGTCGATTTCCTGCTGCTTGGCCGTGAGAGCGGCCAGGGCTTGCTCATGCTCCAGTTCCAGCTGCTGCCGCCGCTCGGCGGCCTCGCGCATGTGCTGTGGGGGGCAAGGCGAGGTCAGGCGGGGGCCGCTTCCCACCCTGACCCACCACCCACCCCCTCCCTGCCGCTGGGCGATTTCCGAGGGCCGCAGAGCGAACCGGGGGGACCCTGGCCCTGACAAGGCTTCCGCCTCGTTCTTACTTTTTATATTTTAAATGCAACGAATTTGAGCAGAGCTAGAGGTACCCGGGCTGGGGTGAATTCCGTGTTTTTGTTTTGTAAAAGTCTCTCTTCTCTCCATCTTGTCCCTGGTCCTACACAAATAACAGCCAAGGCTTACCAATCCCTCCCTGTGCTGTGGGGACTGCCCAAGCCTTGGACTGCTATTTAAGTCACAGTAGTCTCAAGATAATCGCAGGAAGCAGGCACTGCAACTAGCCCCATTCTGCAGAGGGGGAAACTGAGGCACGCAGGTTTTCTTGCTCCTCACACAGCTGGTAAGCAGCCGTGTGAATTCAAATAGACCTGAGTCGCAGGCTTCGCCCCCTCTGCTCGCTCCTGCCCCCCGGCAGCGGCCCCACGGCCGCCGTCAGCCAGACCCGTTTCTGAGCAGAGACCGGGTGCGTGCGCCCTCGCTGTGCTGTCCCCACAGCCGCCGTCCAGCCTCCGCGGTGGGGTGGAGCTCAACCCCGTGTTTAATTATCAATTAATTAAATAACTAACGTTAGTTATCAACACCTGTTTCATAGAGGGGTGAATATTACATGAGTTAGGACAGTACCTGGCACCTGCTACACCCTGTGGTACCTTTAACTCTGAATGTTAAGAAAACCCCTCCCCTCTAACCTGTGCAGCATCGTGTGACGTGGGGTCGTGTGACACGGTATCTGGGACAGTCTCACAACGCCGCTCTAGTGTTAAAGTGCCAGGTGCACGGTACGTCTGCAGTGACCAGGGGCTTTTCCAGCATGACAGCGAGTGACCAAGACGACGGCACTGGCAAGATGGTGGCAACGAAGACGATGTGCCACCCCAGCCCCCGTGCCGGCAGGCACTCCCCGCCCCACACCGCCTCGGAGCCGGCGCCGTGCCACGGCTCACGACTCAGGGAAGCCACCCCACGTGCCACACGCAGAGCCAGGGCACACCTAACCACTGACCCTCTTCCGCCTGAGGCCACTTATCCTCGGCCGCTTCGCTGCCGGCTGGGGGGGGCGCTCCGGGAAGGCCGTCAGCGAGGAGGAAGGAGGGGGCGTGTCCTAGGGACGTCGGGTGAGCTCAGAGTCGCTCCAGGCGCAGTGGCCGGCGGCTGGGTCACCAGAGGACATGGGCCACAGACACCTTTGCGAGCTTCTTGCTTAGAGACGAAAGGGACACCACCGCTTACAGAACAGACAGGGGGACAGACGGACACGGCGCTTGCGTTTCTCAGGCTGACGAACCAAGTCAGCGTGCGGTCGCCGCCAGGAAAGCGCAGATGTGGGAAACGGGCGCCCTCGAGGCACAGCGGTGGAGGCTAATGACGATGGAGGCTAATGACGATGGAGGCCGCGGCGGAGGGCGAGGCTGGCGGCGGCGGTGCCTTCAGGGCCCGTCCCCTGCGGCGGCCGGCTTCCTCCGCACGGCTGCTCAGGGCTGTCTCCGCGGGTGCTCAGCCTGCACCGCCCACTCCCGGCCCCGCACACGGCTTTCCCAGTCTGACGCCCACCCTCCCACCCAGACGACCAAGCGACTCCCTGCTCTCCGAGCCCCCCCGGCCACTTCCCTGCCCCCGGGACCCAGTCTCTCGGGGGCGCTGGACCGAGGGCCCCATGGGTTCTCACAGACAGCGGCAATCCCTGCCTTTTGCCCCAGGACAAACTCCACCCCCGATTCCTAAAACGCGGCTCCCACTTTCACAAACCCGCAGTTCCAAGGGGCACGCCACGCTCATGGGGACATCACATATCTGAAAAGTGCTAAGGGCCACGTCACAGCAGAAGCGCCTGCCCAGGACGCTCTGCCTGGGGCACGGTTTATTTTTAAAGCAGTACTATCTATAGCGGGATGGCGACATTAACTCGAGCGCTTAAGTAACCCACAAATGTCACAGTGCCGCTTCCCCAGGAAGCCCGGGTGCACCACGGAGTGAACAGATGTGGAGCGAACTGCGTCATCTCAACACCAGATCAAAGGGGCTGTGTCTTCTGCTTGGATCCCGCCCTGCCCGGGCAAAGAAGTTAAGGAAAAGGTCACTGCCTTCCACAGGAGTTAACCGGTGACGCCTTTAATGTCACAGCCTTGGGATGCAGCACGCACCGTGGGAAGAACGCGGCGCGCCCGTGCACACGACTCCCTTCCGCGTGACACGGGGTGAAGGACACACAGTGCTTACCGTGCTCGTGGCTTCAAACGAGAGAGGTGGCGTTTAAAACTCTCTGTTCTCTGCCGTGTGGCCCCGCCCGTCTGGGAGTCAGTTCATCCCTGATGACGATCGGCACAAAAGCGCCCTGTGGATCACGGACGCGGAAATACGTTTTAGCCAAAGTGTCTGTTTCTCAAACTGGGACGGAACGAGGAGGGAGGAGCAGGAGCCCCTCTGCGAAAGCGTGGGGCGCGCCCGCTTGCTGGCTCGTTCTCAACCCTTTCGACTCGCCCCTGGTGGCTCCTGAAAACACGGGGACAGCGACGTGCGTCCTGGGCAGCCATGAAGATCACTGTTCTGAAGCAGTTTTCAGGATGCCCAGTGTCCCCGGCTGCCGGCCTGGGAGTCGAGCCGGCTGTGTGCCCCGGGCTGCGTGAGCTCCCTGGCCTTGGTTTCCTCGTTCACCGAATGGAGGGAAAGGACCCATGCTCCCAAAGCGTCACGGGGACCAGGCGGACTGTCCGGTTCCCAGTGCCCTGCACGGAATGACGCTCAGTGCAGTCATCGGTGAGTTTCGGTTGAGGTCTGCCGTTTCGTGGCTTGTTTTCTCCTGGTTCCTGGCCTTCTCATTCCATTTCCCTTCTGCTGGACGATCTGAATGTGTTTTAGGGTCTGTTTCCATGTATCTGTTGATTGTCTAACTGTATATTTTTAGGTAACTTTTACTGGTTGCTCCGGGCATCTCAATATACGTATTTAAATGTAACTACTCTATCCGGACCTGCGGTTTGCCATCCGGAGTGGACTGCAGGACCACGGCCGGCGCCTCAGCACTTCCCCCCTCTCATTGGGAGCAGCTGTCTCGTTATCACATCTACACGCATCGAGAACCATCGGACAGTGTTTTAATTTTTCTTTGAACCACCACACGTGTTTTAAAGAGCCTGAGAGAGCAGCGATGGCCCATTATATTTACCTAGTTATTTACCATTTTTGTTTCTCTCATCCACCTAGTTCTTACCGAGCACTAACTATGCCAGGCACCGTGACAAGTGTCAGAGACACGGCAGACAAAACCGGAAGTGGGCTTGGCCTGCCTGGCACCGACGTCCTAGCAGGAAGATAAGCACTCGTAAGATAAGGAGATAAAGGGGAGAGCCTGTGACCAGTGCCCCGAAGACTCAAAGCTGAGAACCTCGACTCGGCGGCGGGTGAGCCCTGGGGAGGGGACACAGGAGCAGCGTGCGGAGGGTGAGCAGGTGGTTCGGAGCGGGGAAGGCGAAGCATTCTGTGTGCGGGGAACGGTGTGTGACCGGGACGGGGTGCGGGCCAGGCGCAGGAAGGCTGGGGCGCCGGGGGGCCTGGACCGATGGCAGGGACGATGGCGGGGACAGGGAGGAGGAGCTGCCCACCTCCGGGTGGAGGAACGAGGAGAGAGAATCCGACTGGGTCTCTCATCTCGAGGACAGTGGGCTTGTGCCGGAATGGAGACAGCCTCCTGCACACGTGCTGTCCCTCACCAGAGATAATTACTGGACACGAACGTCGTCAGATGCCAGAGCGCTTGGAATGGAATAATGAGCAGGTCCAAGTAAGCTATTCTCGTGAAGCTTACGTTCTACTGGCGGGGGGCGGAGCAGGAAATAAACAGGCCATCTAGCAAGCGAATCAGAATAATTTCAGAGGTTAATTTAAAAATAAACAGGACAAAGGGGAGAGAAGTAGACGCGACTCAAGCTGCTCAGGGTGGTGACACGCAGCTGAGACCTACGTGATGACAAGGAGCTGGTCGAGTGAAGCCTGCAGGGGCCAAGGTCATGGTGGCAGGGGCCAGCTCGGCATGTGTCCACTGCGGCTGCACAGACGGAAAGCAGCAGGTCTGGAGCGAACGAGGCAACGCCCCGGCTGGGGGTTCGGCTGTGTCCCCCACAGTCACATGCCGAAGCCCTCGCCTGACCACACATTTGGGTCCCCCCCCCAGACCTGTCCCCTTCCCTACGTGCTGTGTGTGACGCGGTGTGGCCCCGCTGAGCACGGCAGTGTTTCCGCTACAGCGGTACCTGGGGCTCGCCCTGGGCTCTGGGCTCCAGGGGGCCCCGGAAGTCAGGCTGGGGAGGGGTCCGCATGTGCTAAGCCCACGGAGACGCTGCAAACTCCGGAAAGGCGAGTGCCTCTGCTCGCCCCTCGCGGGCCCTGGGCTGCCATTCCTGCGTCCCTGCCTGACAGGGCGGCAGCACCACACCCTGTGCAACCTTTTCCTGATGATGAGTGGAGCGCACCCCTGGCACACTCAGTGGCCCAGACTTTTGAGAGGCAGGCTGGGGCACCAGGAGGAACAAGGGACGGGCTGCCCGGCGCACGGAGGGGACAGTCCAAGCACAGTGGGGGCAGAGGGCGGAGTCTCAGAGGGGTCCTGATCCCATCCTCACGCTGGAGGCAGGACACGTGTGTGGCTCCCAGTGCCGGCCAGGGCCCCCCACCAACAGGAACGGAGGCCGAGCCCCGAAGCAGTGAGCCCCCTGCCCCTGGCTCGAGTCTGAGCATCTAGTCCAGATGGCGCTGTCCGCTCTCGGGATCCGGCCCATCGTGCGCTTGCTGGGGACTGAGCCCAAAGCCCTGTCCTCATTCCAGGGGACCCCGGGGTGTGATGGGGTTCACATCGCAGAACAAAGGAAAGGAGCTATGAAGTGTGAGGTGACTGACCGCAG